CAATTCCTAAGGCTGTGCAAGTTAAAACAGTATTCTCTTCCAGATATTTCTACTTTCATGAGATATAAAAGTTACCCTGACACTTCGGTATTATCTTAGCATCCTCCACTCATCAAAGGTGCTTGTCTTTTGTCGTTATTAGGAACTTAATCAAAGGTTCTTTAGGTCTCTGCTGGTTTGGGCCAGTATTTTCATCCTAATTATTAGGAATTGAGGAAGTGTAAATATCGTGCAATTGAAACAGGAAATAGTAAGGCAAACTACTCTGTGCTGGATCTCAACTGCACATTTTAATGCTTTAGAAATTGGCACAATCTGCTAATAGAACAAAAGGTAACCAAAGACACATAGGGTAAAGTTAAATGGTAACAATGAGAAAAGTGGGGGGTCTGTTAATCGCAAAGATTCAATGTTATAAATGAATTAATACAGTTATACTTTTTCTCTTCCATTCGCAGTTAAATGGATTGGTGTAGGGAAATCCAGAGAGTCTATGATTCAACTCTTCTAAGGATTTCCAGTTACGCAAGAAACACTCCTTAAGAGGGGGGGCAAGGACTTTCTTAAATATGTCATTTCTGAGCTGCACATTTCAAGAGTAAAGACATTGACGTGTGTTGTAAGCCCCGCGGGTGTTCCAGGCTTGAAGATGGCTGACTGGTGTGGAGGTAAGCTCGGCGAATTCCAGTGTCAGTTTCCTTGGCTGGCATAATTGCCGAAATCATCTGTTGCTCCTGCTGCTCATGGTGCCACATTTTCTTTAATGTTTAGTAATAGTATAATCCATGTTGTTTGAAACCTATAGTAGAATTCTTTCTATGTAGTTCTTCATTATTGTCATTGTGTTCATAGGTTTTACCTCTATTAAATGGTAAGAACAATTAATGCAGTTTTGCACAAATATTTTTACATTCTGGTCATTCAGTTCTGTCATTATAATCTTTGCTGTTAGAAAATTGATGAGAGGAGTTCTGTAAACTTTTGTAATGCTATCAATTCTGTTTAAATTGTGAACTGTTTATTTTCTGCTGAGGCCATTGCAAATTCAAGCTTTGGTGGGGGGAGGGTGATATATTCATGGGTCCTTTAATTTGTACAGAACACAAAACTTATTTCTCTCTATAAATTATTTAATACATTGAACATTTAATTAAATGTTCAAAGAGAAAAGGTGTTCCCTAAAACAGTACTCTTAATATTAAAAAAGTCATTAAAAGATCTATTGTGATATTCAGTGAATATTTTTTTTTAATTTCCCATGTTAACTCTGAAATGTATCACTTTCCTGTTTTATCTTACATTATTTCTAAATCTAGTGGATTGCTTCTTCAACATTGTGCCTGCTGGTATGCCTATAAAATCATTCTGTAAGTGTCCAAATGAACTCAAATTGTTGGTCATGCCTTTATTTCTCTTTTCTTGGGGGGAAAAAAGGTGTCATTTTAACAGTTAGGCTTCACATATTGTGTTGTAGATTATCCTTCAGTGAACTATTTAAAATGTTTAAATTAGGTGCCACTTAAATTTATTTTATTATACCATCAATAGCTGATTAAAAAGAACCAGATATTTCTAGTACATTCTGTGCACTGTGTTCTGTGCTGCCAAGAGCGTGACGGTGAACTGGTCTACCCGAGCAGGGGCTGCGCTCCTGCAGTGTGGGCGAGGCGGCGAGAGGGCAGACACAGGGCCTTTGAAATCCTCCACGTGTCTTATCTTCCCTAGATGTATGTTAGTAATACTTAGTTCAAGAAAAATTTTAAAATAAGAACTATGTTGGCGTCAATAAATAAAAAGGATAATACAGATGATCTTACAAGCCCACTACTGATCAATAATGATCTTTATATTAGAAGATAATTTATATTTAATATATAATAAATAATTTTTATTCTAATGGTTAAGTTGAATCGGCTTTTATTTAGTTAATTCTCACCTGAGGATATTTTTTCCATTGATTTTTTTTTTTTAGAGAGAGTGGAAGGAAAGGGAGGGAAGGGAGGAGAGAGAGAAACATTGATGTGAGAGAGACGCATCATTTGGTTGCCACCTGCATGCGCCCCAACTGGGGCCAGGGATTGAACCTGTGACCCTGTGGTGCTCAGGCCGACGCTCTAACCACTGGCCAGGGCTTGAATCGGCTTTTATTTCTCCTTACTCTTTCTTTCTACTTGGACTTTAAATTAGATTAGCTACCCAGAGATGAAAGCTCTATTAGCATGTTGAAGTCCACATTCTTATCTGGCTGTAAGCATTGCCTTATGAAACATTTTTATCAATGGTCCAGAGGCAGATATAAAGAACCCATTCTCTGAGTCAGGAATGCTCTTGTTTTTTTTTGTAACCAAAAAAATGTAACTCTCATATTGATGTTGATATTTACTTATTTTTGGAGTGATTCTCTTTCATATCTCTTTAAAAATGAGCTGTTTGCTAATTAAATTGGTTAAGAGAGAGGATCTGTTTTTCAGATATCATTTAGTCTTTAAAATAATAGATAACTGAATTAAAATAATAAATCTTTACTGACTGAGTATATACAGTAGTCCCTCCTTTATCCATAGGAGAAATGTTCTGAGACCCCTAGTGGGTCACTGAAACCACAGATAGTACCAAACCTTATACATACTAAGTTTTTTCTTATACGTACATACCTATGATAAAATTTAATTTATATATTAGGAACAGTAAGAAATCAACAAAACTAATAATAAAATAGAACAATCATAACAACATACTGTAATAAACTATTACAAGAGCCCTGGCTGGGTTGCTCAATCAGTTAGAGTGTTGTCCCATAAGCCAAAGTTGTGGGTTTGATCCATGGAGTAAGGGCACATACAAGAAGCAACCAATGATTGCATAAATAAGTGGAGCAACAAATCGATGTCTCTCTCTCTCTCTCTCTCTCTCTCTCTCTCTCTCTCTCTATCTCTGCCTTCCTTTAAAATCAATAAACAGCCTTGGCCAGTTGCTCAGTGGTTAGAGTGTCAGCCCATGGACCAGAGTCCCACGGTTCCCGCTAAGGGCACGTACCTCAGTTGTAGTTTGTCCCCGGCCCTGGTTGGGGTCCTGTGGGTGGTAGCCTCTCGATGTGTCTCTCTCACATCAGTGTTTCTCTCTCTCTCTTTTTCCCTTTATCCCTCCCACTTTATCTGAAGATAAATGCAAAAAAAAAAAAAAAAGTCCTTGGGTGAGGATAAAAAATAATAACAAAATAAATAAATAAATAAAATCAAACAAAAATTTAAAAATACTACAAGAGACAAAGGACATTTTGTATTGATAAAAGGGTCAATTCTTCCAAGAAGGTGTAACAATTATAAGCATATATTCACCAAAGCTCCCAAATATATGAAGCAAATATTGACAGATTTGAAGGTAGAAATAGTTCTACAGTAACAGTTGGAGATGTCAATTCCAAACTTTCAATGAGTCAGAACATTTAGAGAAGATTAATAAGGATATAGAAGACTTGAACAATACTATACAGCAACCAGACTTAACATATTAATACAACACTCCACCAAAAAAATAGCAGAATATACATTCTTCCCAAGTTTACATGGAACTCCTCCAGGATAGATCACTTATTAGGTCACAAAACAAGTCTCAGGTTTAAAAATATTGATGTCCTACAAAGTGTCTTCTTAGATCACAAGGGCAGGATGCTAGAAATCTAACAGAAAGAAAACTGGGAGGCTTCTGGTTTTAAGCTCTGAAAATGTTTTCTTGATAATTTCCTTTACTGTACTCGTCATTTTCTCTGTTCTGTTTGTAGAAGCATGTTTATTAGTCAGAGGATGGACTTCCTGATTTGCTCTACATCTCTTCCTTTAAAACAATCTTTTCATTTGCCATCCTATTCTATGAGTTCTTCAGAATTTTTTCCCAATCCTGTCAAAGTTTTAATTTTAGGAATCAAATATTTACTTCCAAAAGTTTTGTTAGAAAAGATTGCTTTTTTATGTTTATGGATGTAATTATTTTGAAACATTCCTTGTCACATGATCAAGTTATTTTGTTAGCTTTTTTTAGATTCTTTGTTGTTCCCTAAATTCTATTTCTTCTGGGATCATTTTCTTTTGTTTAATTTGGTCTTTTTTTTTTGGTACGTACCCCTAGCGGGAACCGAACCGAGGAGACTCTGCTCCGCAGGCTGACACTCAACTGCTGAGCCAAACCGGCCAGGGTTAACTTGGTCTTTTTTTAATGTTGCATTTTTTTTTTTCCAACTCTGGTGGCCCTTGGTTAGCTCTTTACAACTAAGACTGAGACAATGAAAAGCTATATGAAACTATGTTCTTGGGGGAGGTTTGTCGACTGGTAGCCTTCACTCTGGTGTTGAGTGGGGAGCCAGTTAGTATGATGGGGGTTCCCAGTGGCCAGAATGTAGGATTCTTTTCTTGGTTATCATTTCATTTCTTTAGAGAAGACCCTCTAGCTTTTGACCTAGAGAGTTGATACCTAGTTGACAGGCTTTCTTCTTGCCAAGATAGCAGTGGTAACCTTTTTGTATACACACTTTCAATAAATTCTTTTTTTTTAACCAGTCTCACATATCACTCTAGTCCTACCCGATGTCTGGGTTTCTGCATCCAGAGCACCTTCAGGGTCTTCCTCCTTGGCCACATCCCCAGGTTCTCTTTTTCCCCTCTCAACAGTGTTGCAGTTATTGAGCAGATACAATTATATTCTCATCTGGTTCCATGTATAACCACTGGACTAAATTAAGATGGCTTAGCAGCACCAGCAACAAGACTGGTAGTGGGGCTGAGGACAGATAAGTCCTCCTAAGGCTGGGTCTTGATTCCAGCCCTAGGCTGACCAACTTAATCTGAAAAGAATTTGCAACGTTTAAATAGTTTAGGATTGTAGCCATCTGGATACACACTTAAATTAAAAGTAGTTCTGTTATCATTATTTTAGTCTAAAAGAGTCACCTAAGAATGCCAAATCTTTTATTCAAACATTATCGTTATTAGTTGAAAGCTTTTATTTCAACGCCACCTTTCTTCACAACAGTGGAACTCAGGCACTGAATTGATTGGTCTAGGATTCGATGAAACTGTGGCTAATTTCTGGTCCCAATCTGGAATTTAAAACAAATTAATGATTTATTTTAAGACTACTGACTCCTAAATTTTTATAATTCATTATCATTTCAACAGCAATTGTGTATAATAAAAACATTTACGGGATTTAAGACAAAGGAATATGTTTAAAAGATATGTAAAGAAGGACTTAGTCAAAGGGCTATTTATGTGGCTCAATCTCTGATCCATATCACTGAATATGTAAAAATGTAATTAAAATAAATCACGTAAATTTGCATTTTGACATCCTAATTCTAGACTCCCCCCCAAAACCCTTTAAGGCTTAAATTATAAATGGGTCACTTTATATCCTCTTTGTATCAAATTGCATTTGTTAACCATCCCTAAATTCATACCCATTGGAGATCCCGCATATCCCATAACCTCTTATCTATAATCACTAACAGTTTTGCTTATTAAAGCTAAGGGTTCAAGGACGGCTTATTGCATCTATGCTTAATGAGCCAAAGACCAGAGTGTTCCAATGACAGTGTTGTAGCAAGACTTTATATGTATAGCACTGGGCATTGTATTAGGCGTTTCATTTACATTAACATTCATAGTAACCCTCAAAGGCCCACTGATATCATCACCATCTCAAAGAGATTAATTAATTTGCCCAAATTTACAGGACTTGGAAAAGGAGGAGCCCACATTTGACCCAGGATGGTCAGGCCCCTAAATCCTTAATCTTTTCACACTTCCACCTCCCACAGCACGTCAACAGCGTTTAAAGAAACAGACTTTTTTTTTAATATTAAGAATGGATAACATTTCATTAGCCCGGGAGTATGACAAGAAATGCCATCCCTGGAGGATTTTTAAAATCTAATTTAATTAGTTATGATCCTGTATTCTTAATCCTTAATTCTCCAGGCTTGTTAAATAGCACCTCTGACCTTCTTGAGGATTACAAAGTATCCCAGGGAAATATATTAAAGTAGTTTAGAAGTGTGAGGAATCCTACCCAATAACCTAAATGATCCTTGTTGTAGGAGTTACAATGGAGTTCAGTTATATACATATTTAACCAGGTAAATTCAACAACGAATATTCTTAGAACACATGGAAAACTTTGGAGGGTTTCCTTACATCTTCCATTTAGTGAGTATGTGTGCCCACGGACAGTGGATGCTGTCAAGCCTGAGATCTGAGATACAGATTTGGGGGTGGAAAGAACATGGGAAATAATTTTTTTAAATTTCCATACTACTTGACAAAGTGAAATCACTGTTCAGGTGGATTTGTGGTGGTGTTTCTTAGAAAGTCATTGAAAAATAAAATGAAGACTTAATTGAGAACCGCAGAGAAAACTGTACCCACTTTCTGAAGAACCCCATGTATTACAAAGATGTTAATAATTTAGTATCATTTAATATCACTTTGAACAGTTTAAGAGATTTTTAAGGATAACTGATTATACATGATAATTACCTTATACATTGGTTTTAGAACTTAATCTCAGTATAAAATGCAATTCTGTTGTTTTAGGTTTTTAAAAAATATTTATTATGACATGTTTATTCTTGATCAAGAATAATAGCAAACATTTTTGAAAGCTTAGTAATGTAAACAGTAGTTCTAAATTATTTATATAGATATCTCAATTCTAGGCAGATAACTTTTTATCCTTTTTGCAAATAAAAAAACAAGGTCAGAGAGTATAAGGGTCACACTGCTGCAAAACATGTATTTAGTTTGGAAGAATGAGCTGTTTGAATTACTTGGCACCAGGATGAGTAATACAAGGGCAACTTCCATCCGAGGGACCATCTCATCCTCCCAGGATGTAAGTTCTCGGAGAACAGTTCATATCTTCCACAGTGTCTCACACATAGGAAGGCTTACACAATGTTTCCTAAGAAACAAATGAACCTCTAGGTGCTGAGAAAGGATTTTTCCCGAGCAAGAATTTCTTAAGTAATCACCGTACTCTTAGGATCTATAGTTAATCTGTTCTTCAACAATTCCCAAGTAAGAACTGAAAATGAAAAGCAAATCATTGCTAATCTAGACACGCTTTGCCCTTCAAACCTGCTCACAAGGACTGGTCAAATATAAAACACGTATACCTTCATCAACTGAATATTTCTTTATCTGATTCTGTGAAGAGCCCTTCCCCAAAGACTCCTTTAAGGAGTCAGCTTCTTGATTTAAACAAATGCTTAATTCAGGGCCTGCCCTTTCCTCCATCCACGCCCAGATTTGCAACATTTCTCTGATAGGTCTCTTGGGCCCCTGCTACCACCCAGTGGTCGCTACACTGGGCTGCACAGTGGAATTATCTGGGGAGTTCTAACAATGACTGGTGCCTGGATCCGCCCTCCAGGAGATTCTCTTCATTGGTGTTGGGTGTGTCCTGGGCATGTGGATTTTTAAAAGTGATGCTGAGGTCGAGAACCTTTAGCCTAACCACTGCCATGACCTCCCGACTTGACTCTGCATTCAGTCTTTGTGTCACTCCACTCCCCGCTGTTCCCTTTTTGTCTCCAGAGTCATCTTTGCACAAGGCAGTTTTAATCGTCACCTCCACCCTCATGAAAACCTTTCAGGAGTTTCCCATTAACCTCAGAAGAGAGGCTCGAACCTGCAAATGGCCGGTGAAGCCCTCACCTGTTCCGACCTTGCCAGCTCTAGCCACGCCCTGCCTCGCCCATGCTGATTCTGCGCCAGCACACTCCTATTTCTCAGTTCCTCAAAGGTCACGGGGCCTTTGCACATGCTGTGCTCTCTGGGGAGCTGTCCCCCACCCTTGCCTGCTCTTCCCCGGGGAAACCTCAGACCTATTGTGTGCTCCTGTAGCAACACTTAAACTGCTTCGTGGCTTTTGCGGCAGGTGGAATTTGATGCTTGTTTCTATGCTGGTCCCCCCCCCCTTCCCCGCCCCTGAAGCTCCCTGAATGCAGACATTTCGTGTCTGTTGCTTCACATTGTGTCGCCAAAGCCTTGCACACAGACTGGCGCAGCAGTAGCCTTTTGTTCCTTACTGGAGGGATCAAAGTGCACTTGACGTCACCCCTGTCATCGAAGCCAAATGCTGTCACCTCCAGAGTATCTCTAGAATCCTATTCCTGTTCACCTTCCCTGCGGGGCCAGGCCACCGTCACCCGTGGTCTAAATGACAAACTGGCTTCCTCACTGGTGTGCGTGGCCTCCCCTCCTGTTCCTCTCCGAACAGTGCTAACAGGCAGCCAGCCATCTTTTAAAGGGCAAGTGATATGTCATTTCTCTGTTCAAAACCCTTCCCATTGATCACGGAACAGAATCCAAGCATCTTACCCTCACACCTCACTGGCCACCCACCAAACGACACCAGCCTCCTTTCTTTTCCTCAAACATGCCAAGCCCTCCTGGTCACTCAGCTAAAACTGGGGAGGTCCTCTGGACAGCACTGTGGAAAGTCACCCCCCTCAGCTGTGCTGGTCACCTGCTCACTTCCCACACAGCACTGCTACATTCTCTAATTTTTAAAAAATGTGCTTGGTTATATTCAGTATCCTCCACCAGAATGTCAGCTCCAGGACAGCAGGGGTCCTATCTGTCCTGGTCCCTGCACCCTCAGCAGGCAACCCAGTGTCTGGGTCATCACGGGTGCTCTATCCATGACTGAATATTGCAGTTGCCAGTTTCCAAGATGGACCCCGATGACTCTTGCCCCTGGTGTCATGCCTTGTGTACACCCTTTCCACACTGCTTCGGGGCTGGCTGTGTGTGACTAATGGGAATCATCAGAAGTGACAGTGTGTGACTTTGGAGCCTAGGTCATAAAAAGCAGCGTGGTTTCCATCTTCATCTCGGACTGCTCACTCTAGGGGACCGCCCACTTCAGGCCCACCTAAAAGGCACCCTGGTCCCCAGCCAGCATGTGAGCGACAACATGTGAGTTGTCATTCCTGACGACTGTGCGAGTGAGCCACCTCGGAGGTGGGTCCCCCGGTCCCACTCGAGCCTTCAGATGATGTGATCCTCACTGACATCAGTCCGATCCCCGAGGCCCTGAGCCGGGCCTGCCCCAGGGAGGAGCAGTCCTCGAATTCCTAACGCACAGAAGCCATGAGATAAAAATCATCATCACTGGTGTTTTAAGTCACTGGTTTTGGGAATGATTTCTTACTCGGCAATAGCTAACTAATACACACTGCATCTCTGAGTCAGCGAGTGGAGCAATGACTGTTTCAACATGGATTCTCTCTTGAATTGGTCAGGCTTCAAACACACTGAGTAGGGGACTGGCCAACCCCGTCCCCCCTCTTACGTTGCGGAGCCCACACTTTCCAGTCCCATATTTTCAACTGTCTACACATCCCAACCTGACACCTCTTCTGCCTGGGTTAATCCAAATCCACCCACCCTGCAGCAGAAGCAAGGCTGTGAGCAGCTCTGATTGCTGGGAGTTGTCTGCATGCTGTCCCTTCTCCAGATGCTGTGCCGGCTCCTTCCTGGTTCCCGAGAGGACTCAGTTCAATGGAAGAGCCAGGGTTGGGAGAGTGACGTATCTGGATATGACCTCGACTCTAGGTTCCTTCAAGTCTCAGCCTCCATTTCTTCTGCTAAGTGGAGTTAATAATGATACTTCATGGTGGCCGTTAAGACTCATGGCGATTACGAGTGGTGTACACACGTTTGAGTATGTCCCTCGGCACAGTTCTGGGCACACGACATATTTCAAACCCTAACAAGTGTAGACTTTGTCCACTTTACAGAGGCACAGAAAGCTTTGGAGACGCCAAGTGTCTCGCCCAACGCCATAGCCCTTGAGAACTGAATCCTGTCCGCCGCTTCCCACCGCCACGCTGCGTCCTTCCTGAGCCGGCTCCCACGCTAGCATCCCTGGGAGGTGACTGGGTCACCCCTACACTCTGACCCTACACCAGCTGTGATTGTCCAAATTCGACTTTCCAAACCCTTCTGCCATTCCAGTCACTTCCTACTCGGCCGGTCCTCACGTTATTTCCCACTTCCCCCTCCCACCTACCCCATCAGGCCATTGTCCCCATTGCTAGGACCCGCCTGGCTCCCCATCTCCCCCGCCTCGCCATGCTTGTTCCCAGCCTCTGCCCCTAGTTGCAGTGGCCCCGGCCGTGCTGTTCCCTGTTTCTTCATCATGCACATGGTGTCCATCAAGACCCAGCTTGGTCCCCCTGAAACCCGCTGCATTCCTGGCTGCTGTAGGCCCAGTGATCTCAGCTCTCAACCTGTGCTCCTCTACTGGGTACTTAATCGTCTGATGAGTTGATTGTTGCCTCATCTTCTCAATGACATCGTGAGCTCCCTGTGGCTGACATCATAGCCTGGACTGACTCTCACCCCCTCCCGTGACACCTGGCCCAATGCTAGGGACATACCAGATGGCAAATATTTAACTGCTTTGCTAAACATTCACCTGGCTCTATAGGTGTGGAAAGAATCAGAAAGTGTCCTCTACAGTAACAAGGGAGAACAACTTTTGTATCTGTCTTTTGAACAAGATTTCCTCATAGCAGAGGAGTTGTAAGAAAGGTCCTGTTCGCTGTCACTTTGGAAACCCGGGCCCCACCTCGATTCTTTTATTTAAAGAAAACAGTTGACACTCGGTCAGTGTTGAAAGGACAGACTGCCGAGCCCGTTCTGTGGGGCAGGAGCTCCGCTGACTTCCCGGTCACCTCTCCTTTCCAAGTCCTCCCAGCACCTCTTAGGACCCGGCCTTGCCCTGCTTGTAAACTCTTGTCCCAAACTCCACCTGCCAATCTCTGGTGCCAACGCAGCTTCATCTATCGCCACGCCCACCCCTGGCTCAGTTCCCACGAGACCTGCCTGGTCCTGTTCAGTTCCCTGTTCCTGGTTGCTGTTGTTTGCTGTTCCTTTGGGCCCCGAGTCCCAGCCCTGCGCTGCCATTCATCAGGGCCGAGACCTTTCTCACGGCAGAAAAGAAGGAAGAGCAGCTCCTTCCCAACACCCCCACCACCTTCTACAAGTTTTTTTTTAAGTGAATAAAAAGTGATTCACTTTGAAGAAAACTACTAAGTAGTACAAGTGACACTCAGGTGTGACTGAGAGTACAGCTTCAAGGTCAAGTGCAGAACTTGGCCTGGGTCTGGAATGTTCTGGGTCTGCATTCTCTCCTCCTGCCCACTGCAGTGGGATTCGGGGCCAGAGAGTTCACTGGTTCTGCACCTTGCTCCCTCGCTGGAAAATGGGAACAATAGCACGCACCCCGGAGACTGTGATGAGGACAAATTATGTACCTGCCTCTCAGTGTGAGAGCCCCAGAATCGGCAGGGCCATTCACTTAGAGAGCCTGTCAGTAAACGGATTCATTCTACTCACTGAAGTCCAAAGCATCCATGGCTACAGGGATGCAGGGCTGTTGAACTCGGTGTCCCGTGTCTTGGGGGTCACATCCGTGGGCGAGCCTGGCCCCTCGGCACTGGCACGTTCTGCCACGTGGAGAAATGCTACGCAGGGAATTTAGCGTTTTTGAAAGATGCCCCCAAATGGTCATAAAGTCATTTAAAATAGGAGGAGGAAAACGTTTCCTCAACAGTCTGCGAGGAGTGCTCAGACTCGAGCTGCTTCCTCTCAAGGACGTTTAAGCATCTTCATTCCTGAAGTCTAGACAGGGAGCGGGGGAAGGAGGACGCATCCCTGGGCCAGCCTTCTACGTTCTTCCTGCACCTGGACACCCCCAGCCCCCCCGCAACTTGACTGGTCCCAGACGCACCGACGCAAGCCCTTGGGGGTTGCCTCTCTGCAGCCCAGGCAGGGTTGATCTCAGAATAAGAGCAGTTGACCCGACTCACCAATCGTGTAAAATGGCAGAGAATAGTCTCTTTGGTAAGTGGTTTCTTTATACCACGGTTCGGCAGGTTTTGCGTATCTTCGAAAATGAATGTATCGAACGAGAGTTTGTTGGTCTAATTGAGGCTGACATTGACGTTTTCTCTCGGATGGAATTGCCAAGTCTATGAGAGGTCTAAATGAAAACAAACAAACAAAAATCACAGCTTGCTGAACATCCCACTGAAGAAAAGCAGTTCATTTTCTCATCAACTGAATCCATTCCCTAGACGTGGCCAGGAGGCCACCGAGGTAGTGTTGGCCAGACCCCCTAGATCCAAGGCCAGCCCTCACCCGGTTGTCAGTGGATAGCTCAGGGATTCCAGTCCCGTTCCTCCCTTTGCAGCCCTCCTCTCCCAGCCACAGGTCACAGAGGGCAACCTGCATAAAATATCCAGAGGGTCAGCTTCCTGTGCCCCCGTCTTCCCGGTGCCCTTGCCCATTGGAACTTTTCCTTGGATGTTTGGTTCCTCAAGGAACCAGTGCTTTCTTTTGACCAGACTAACCATTACGGTGCATTTTGGTGTTTGATGAACCTGGAATCACTGGTACCCTTCCTGGCTCTCCATTTAGAATAGTACTCTTGAAGGGAAATGTGAAGAAGAAATGAAATGTAACGGTGAAATGTCTTCAAACACTCGTGGGAGTAGACACTCACTGTGCAGCTTGTTTGGGAATAGTTTGGTGATGGGTGTTAATACCTTTGAAATGTACGTATATTTCATCCGAGCATCTCCAGAAATTAAGGATGTCAGCACAGACTTAGCCCTAAGAATGCTCATCACATATTTTCATGACAATAAAAAGAGTGCAACTAGCATTCATGTGAAAAAACAAACAAACCATTATTTAGACAATGACATAGACATACACGGGGATATTGTGCCAACATTAAAAGTGATGCTGTAGAATGTATACGTAGTACATCTTTATCCATCCATCTATCAATGGACATGTGTATATGGAGTACCATCCAGCCATACAAAGGAGAAAATTCTGCTACTTGTGACAACATGGATGGGCCTTGAGGGCATTATGCTAAGTAAAATAAGTCAGAAGGAGAAAGAAAAATACTGTATGATCTCAATTATGTGGAATCTAAAAAAAAAAGAACTAATGGGAACAGAGAACAGAATGGTGGTGGCTAGAGGTGGGGTTGGGGGTGAAGGGGCTGCTAAAAGAGTCGATCTTAAGAATTCTTATGACAAGAAAGAACATTTGTAACTATATGAGGTGATGGATTTTTTTTTAATCCTTACCAGAGGATATTTTTCCATTGACTTTTTTTTTTTTAATCCTCACCTGAGGATATTTTTCCATTTATCTTCAGACAGTAGGAGGGAAGAAGAGAGAGGGAGAGAGAGAAAGAAGCATTGATGTGAGAGAGACACATCGATTGGCCACCTCCCGCATGACCCCACCAGGGCCGGGGACCGAACTGCAGCCAAGGTACCTGCCCTTGCCCGGAATCAAACCCATGACTCATCGGTCTGTAGGCTGACACTCTAACCACTAGGCAAAACCAGCCAGGGACCATTGCTTTTTTAGATAGAGTGGGAGAGAGAGGCGGGGGAGAGGGAGAGACAGAAACATTGATGTGAGAGAGACACATCGATTGTCTCCAGCATGTTTCTGCGGAACCAGAATATTCTCCATTTTCAAGTAAAACATCAGTGTCCTTCTGAAGACAAGACTTTCACTCAAAGGAAGGACTCTAATACTGAAAATATTACGTTGGTAGAGGAATATATCCAGAGAGGGTAAGCCATTAGAGACTCATCAAGTTATACTGTGACTACAAAAACTGAAGTTAGGCTAGGTCCAGAGAAGTGCACTATATTCTGGTTTGGTTTTTCTTTTTTCTTCTTCTTCTTAACTAGAAGCTTAATACAGTCATTGATTGACATTTGCACTGAATTTTCCCCTGAGGCTAATCTTGGGCAGGCACAAGTCTTCAGAGTCAAGCATGTGTGTATCTGAGTTGGAGGAAAAGGGCTTTGGGCTGGGAATCAGAACATGCGGATAGATTCCAGTCTCGACTTTCACGCCCACCAGCTGGACCTCAGGCAAGACTTGCCTCTCCGGGCTGCATCCTCCTCATCCAATCAGATCAGACTGGCCTCTACAACTATCCCAGTGTGGTCGTCTATCCAGTGTAGACTCTGGGCTGCGTACGGATGCCGCTGCTCCCTTCTCTTTGCATGGAGGGAGCTGACCATATCCAAGGCGATTAAGAGAAAAAGGGAAATTTGTAAAACATTCCAGAGGAACTCAAAGGACTAGCAAGCATATTCTTCGTGCCTACTTCGCTCTGGAATTTTATATCAATTATTTAGTTTAACCGATAAGAAAACTGAGACTCAGGGAATGAAAGTTACCCGAGATCAAACATTTCATAAGTTACTCAAAGTGCTTGGTTTCCATTCTCTGCAAACTAGAATACAATGTCAAAGTATCTTTGTGCTGCTGCTGTTGTTAAAGTTATATCCACAGAGGCAGAAACCTGTTAGGCCAGTCATTTTACTGAGAAGGAAACAGAGACTCAGGTTTAATTGTGTGGCTAAGCTGAAACTCTAAACTCATACATTTCGTAGATAATTTAATACCATTCCATATTTATTGCTGATTATAAAAGTAACATATGTTCATTAGAGAAAATCTGAAAAATAAAAAATAAAATATAAATACCAGTAATTTCACCGCTCACAAATAACTGTAGTTAACAGTTTGGTGTAGTCTCCAAACCTTTTCTATCCATTAAATAATAATAATAATTATTATTGTTCTCATTACAAAATGTGACTCCCATTTAAAAAAGTTATCTTCTAACTTTAGTGCAATTTTTGCTGATTATGATTGAGTCAGGTGTCTCACCTGGCAGATCTCTTTACATTGTAATCAAAATGGACTCTTGCCAGCTGCCCAGGGTAGTAGCCCTGGAGGTCCTTTCCCTGATGAACAATGAATGTCCTGTGAAGAAAGGAGCAAGGAAAAAGCAATGGTTACAATGAGAGCAGAACACCAGCTGTGATATGTTGGAAAAAGATATTTGGGTTTTGTTTCCATTTCCTGGCACAGAACTCTGTGCCCCCTGCCTTTAAATTAATTAATTAATTAATCAATCCATGTTTATTTCAAGATGATTTTATTTATCTATTTCAATTACAGTTGACATTAAATATTATAGTAGTTGCAGGTGTGCAGCATAGTGATTAGTCATTTATATAATTTATAAAGTGATCCCCCCAATAAGTCTAGTACTCACCTAGCACCATGTGTAGCTATTACAATATTATTGACTATATTCCCTATGTTGTACACCCTTGGACTTAAAATATATATTATTATTGATTTGAGAGAGAGAGAGAGAGAGAGAGAGAGAGAGAGAGAGAGAGAGAGAGAAACATCAATCAGTTGCCTCCAGTACATGTCCGGACTGGGAATCAAACCCAAGACCCTCCAGTGCCTGGGACGACACCCAACCAAACTAACCACACTGTTTGGGGCCCCTTGGACTTTCTTGATAGGAATGTCTTTAATCCATTTGTGCAGGAATCATAAGAAAATATTTGACGAGTTAGGCATTAGTTTCAAAATATTAGGAAAACGATATGATATTTAAAACCAGTGGGGCAAATGTTGATAATTGTTGAAAAGTGGAAATTGGAAAATGGGGGTTTCTTTTACTATTTTTTTTCTACTTTTGATATATTAACACACTGTCATAAGAAGTTGAAAAAAACAAACACCTGATAAGTGTCTAAGGGGCTAAACCCGAGGAAGCACTGTGCTGGCTGTGTGGGCTGGGGGCTGGGCGACCGGAAGGTGTGAAGCACCGGCAAAAATGAATGAGGTGGAGGAGGCCGGAAGCGCTTCTGGGCGTGAAGGTGAGACGGGTGTGTGCCGCTGAAACGCAGCCGTGCGGGGTGGGGGTGGGGGGGCGAGGCTAGTGGGTAGTGGTGCCCCGCCCTTTCATTTTGAAGTCCCTCTCATTTTAGAATGAATTCCTTCCCTTTTAGATTATAGCTGAGCAGTCTATGGATATTTTTCAATGATGTGTAGTTGGCTTTCTCATTCACAGATTTTATTTCTAAGAATAGTAGAGACATGACAAAACATTTGTTCTGAAAGGTTGAGAACCACCCATGTAGGTGATACGGCATCTTTGTAGGATGTTTTAAAAGTTGAGTGCATGAGACCGTTTTTCTTTTGGAAAGATTTTTGCTGGTGGTGGTGGAACACAAATTTGAGGGCCATCTGACTAGAAGCAGAAGGACTGACGGGCTCGGAGGCAATTATAGTGATTTACGTGGGACCCGGAGAAGCTCTGAGCTACGCGTTGGAAAGGTGGGTGGAGAGGAGAGGACCGAGCGCTGGCATGTTAGGAGAGAGGGCTGAGGTCAAGGACAGACAGCTGTCCAACACCAGCCTTAGGCTTCAGGCACTGGGGAGAAGGCTGCCATCCCCCAGGAGACCCTGGGCACAGGAAGATAACCATTGTTGGGAGGATGACTTTATAGCTCTTTTGGGACCTTCCCCAGATTCTGAGCACTCAGTAGGTACCATAAGAATTCTAGGGGAAGAGTCAGCACAAAGTAGTACATAGTTTTGCATGAAGTAGCTGGCTGATGTGATGAATGGAAACTTAATCTGTACTCCCAGTCCCGACGTCATTTATTGACTGAATAAGACCTCTGTGCGCCCAGCTAGGTTCTAGCGGACTCAGAAGCAGTTCTTGTCCTCAAAATGCTCTTCATGTGCTGAAACGGTGACCTGGATAAAGGCAGTGGACCGAGAAGAGGGAGGGGTGTCGGGTTTGGGCAGGCAAATAGGGTGGGGACGAGATTCCGGGTGAGGGCAATTTCAGGGGTCTAGACGTGGACAGAGTTGGGATCAGAGTGGAGCATGGGGGGACCAGGGGGGTCCTCGCTCTCTGACTAGTAGGAAAGGCCAGCCCCGTGAGCAGGGCGGATCTGTCTGTCTATGGTCTGTGGTCTGCAAACAGGACCTCAGGGAGCTCTGATTTTCAGAAAAACCACAGGCTGTCTGGGCCTGCCCACTGGCTAGGATAATATGACTGAGCTCTGGAGAGCAAATAACAGCGGGGGAATTAAGTCATAAGAAGAGGCAGGAATTGGCACAGTAATAGGAACAAATGACAGTCCTGAGTCGTGGGAGTGGGAGACCTAGCTTCCCCAGGCGCCAGCCAGGGTCTGAAGAGCTACCTAGGGAGTGGCGACCCAGGGCCCTGCTGGTTTCTTAGACTCCCGCTGGGCTCCACACGGCCCTGGCTTCTCGCGTTGCCACGTGCCTGCAGGAGGCTGTGGTTTGACCGCGGACTCTTCGCTGGCGCACACGACAAATACCTGCCGAGCACAGGTAGGAACCTAACACGGCTCCTCGGGCACTGTTGCAGGAGGAGGAGCCCCTCACCCGCACCAGGGGCCATGCTGGCCCCACTCCCTGGGAGTGTCTCTGGGCAGATTTCAGCCCAGGACCTGAGAGTGGGGGCGTGTGTAAGCAGGTGGATGTCGGAGGGTGGGGGGCTGGGTGGAGAAGCAGGTTCGGGGGATGAAGATGGCCCACTTCCCGCCAACTCCTTGGGTAGACTTTTCAGTCTCCCCTATGTGGCCTTCTCCTCAAACAGGAGAACTCCCCAATAAAGAGGTTAAACATCCGTTTTTGGAAGACAGTTTTTACCTCCTGAGGGGAAATGCCTCGCCTGGCATGTCAGTCAGTACCTCGCCTCTCCCGAGGTGTGGTGGGCGTGGGGCAAAACTGCTGAATGACTGGGAAGGCACATGCCAGCTCCCCAGCCTGGCCCCGGAGCCCTGCCTGGGCCCCGCTCACACCCACTCGATTGCTGAGTCACCGTACAAAGGCCTGTTCTCTTCGGACGGGAGCAGGACTCCACCTGTGTCTGATTCCACCAGACATATTGACCCGCCCGGGACAGCTTGGCCCTTTGGGATGACATGCTCAGTTCACACCAGAGCAAACCTGTCCCCTGGGAGGGTGCATGTCACTGGAGCAGGATCTGTGCTCGGCCGCAGACAGAAGTCAGTATGAACAGGGCAGGGCAGGAGTGTTGTCCCTCAAGAGCCTGACCCCACGGCCCGAGGTCGCTGTGTTACTGTGACCGTGCAATTCTCGGTTATGTCTATGCCTCCTGCTCCACCAAGTGTCTGTACAGGGATGGTCTTATCTAATTCTCACGTCCCCTTGCCAGGTAAGTATTAACATCTGGTTATAAAAGAGGAGGCTGAAGTTCAGAGAGGTCGAGAGGACTTTCTAAGCATTACTCAGCTAGTAAACGCCAGACATCAATCAGACCCAGTTCTCCGAACTCCGTGTTGCAGCCAGAATCATCCACATGTACGTGAGATCACCTCTTTCAGAAGAGTTCAGCGCCTTTTTTGTACAAACTCCGTGGTCCCCTGACTTGAGGGCAGACAGGAAGTAGACGTAACGGACCAAAGGGGAAGAAAGGCGGTGTTAGCTGGAAGCCGCTTTCAAGTCAACGAAACAACACATGCATTTGTTTAATTCAGTAAGACACACACTCTGATGTGTTTGCAGCGTGCTGGGGACATAGTGATGATAAATATTGTCTTTCTATGTACGAGTTTAAAATCTGGTAAGAAAAGCCATGTTCAGCCCTGGCCGGTTTGGCTCAGCGGTTAGAGCGTCGGCCTGCGGTCCGGAGAGACCCGGGTTCGGTTCCCGCTAAGGGCACGTACCTCGGTTGCAGTTTGTCCCTGGCCCTGGTTGGTCGTGTGCGTGTCAGCCACTCGATGTGTCCCTTTCACATCGATGTTTCCCCCTCTCTCTCTTCCTCTCTCTCCCTCCCACTCTATCTGTACAAAAAAATGGAAAAATGTCCTCGGGTGAGAATAAAAAAATAATAATAATAAATAAAAAAAAATCATTAAAAAAAAAAAGAAAAGCCATGTTCAGGCAACTAACCAGTCAAGAAACGAGCCAAGGGGGAGTAAGTAACTCAGTGGGGACTGGAGCTGATAAGGACAGAAGACACAGGCCACCACGCTGGGGGCCTCGTCCCCTAGTCAGCTGTCACCACGGTGTAGTCTCAAGGAAGAGGGAGCTTCAGTTTCCTCATTGGTAAAGTGGGGGTGATACTCTCACCTCCATTAAAGATCACATGAGTCAAGGAGACATTGGTGGGTGTCGTCACTGACTAAGACATCCCGTCGTGCTAGGTGCTGGGCCTAGAGCTACCTCTTGACCTCAGACACAGCTTCCAAGTCAGTGTGTTAAAAATCCTTTTGCGTCTGACACCGATCCTGTTTCCTTTGATCTTCCACACCATCCTGAGTGCCTTCCACCTGCGTGACCTTTCCGGGAGCATCCTGGGCTCTACAAACCAGTACAAGACTCAGCCCTGCCCGAGAGACTGGCTTGTAGCTTGGGGTTCGCACCAGATAACACCTGCATCTAAGATCATTCTTTTTTTTCATCATCCCGAGGAGATTTTCCATTTTTTGTTCAGGTAGGGTGGGAGGGAGAGAGAGAGGAACAGAGAAAGAGAGAAACATCGACGTGAAAGGGACACATCGAGTGGTTGCCACCTGCACAACCAACCAGGGGCGGGACAAACTGCAACTGAGGTACATGCCCTTAGCGGGAACTGAACCTGGGTCTCTCCGGACCGCAGGCCGACGCTCTAACCGCTGAGCCAAACCGGCCAGGGCTAAGATCATTCTTATTATGAAAATTCTGTGTGGTCACGACTACTTGTACTAGTTCATTTTATTAGGTGCCCCTACTGGTTTATCACTCCGTTCTCCCTAGTAGAGGCCCCAGGGTTGGGCATGTAAGGATGGAGGATAAATGCTTGTGCAGAAAGATCAACAGAAGGGCAGGGCTTCTCCACGTACTGTCTGTCCATCAGGAAACCAAAGCAATAGTGAATGACAATACTTTTTTCTCATTGATCTACTCATTTTCATTTTTTTCAACAAATGTGCAGAGTCATCCAGGCCGGGGTCATGGTGGCGGGTTGTAGAGAGGCCAGTAAGTCCCCCTGAGGGGTAAAGTGCAGGGATTAAGAGCACAGGTGTCGGAGCCAGGCCGGTGGGTTCGAATCCAACCTCTGCTAACTGCTCACTAGCTGTGGGATCTGGGCCGTCACTGAACCACTCTGAGCCCAGGTGTACTTCCTCATCTGTACCTCACAACTGTTGGGAAGACTGAGTAAGCGAACACAGTGCTCCCACAGGGTAAGAGCTGCGTGAGTGTGAACGATTTTTCCAGTGGGTGAGACCAACAAGGACAAAATCAGTTGTCAGAGGGGCCACAGGGCCCCGTTTCTAAAGAGGGTGAGAGATGGAGAATAACAGCTGTGGAGAGGTGGATGAAGACCTTCTCCAGCCAGGGTGGTCCAGGACTAGCTCTCTGAGCCCCTGACAAACGCGGAGCAGGGTGGTGGCTCCGGGTAGTTAGACGGGGCAGGCCAGGGTGGTGGAGGAAGCGGTCCAGGGAGAAGGAGCAGATCCCAAGGCCCTGAGGCACGAAGGAGTGTGGCCCACCAAAGGGCTGGAAGGAGACAACGGGCGTGAGGCCGTTCAGAAGGCTTTGTAGGCGGGTTTGAATTGTATGCAAAATGCAATGGCTGCAGGGTCTTACGCAGGGGAGTGGTTTTGGTCCAATGTAGTTCCTGAAGCTTGCTCCGGGTTGTAGAACAAGAGGGGTAGTAGGTGTAGATGGGGGAGAGGCCACGGTGGTCTGGACCACGTGTTGGCAGTGGACATGGTGAAGATCTTTCCCTGGGAGACCTCTCTGGAGGCGGGATCGAGGAACGCGCTGGTGGTTGGACCACTATTGAAGCCAAGGCAGGAAGGCAGAGAGCAGACAGAGCCCGGCTCCACAGTGGGTGATGAAGGTGTAGCTCAGACGGCGTGCCTCCCAGTGGGGCTCTGATGGGTGAACACAGAACTGAATCCAGCCCAGCCCTGGGACTTCAGTGTGTCACACCATGTCCCACCCAAATCCTCAGGGGCCACGCCGGACGGACTCGGTTCCACTGAGCCCCAGCCAGCAGCCGCAAAGGGACGTTTGTTTCCATTTTCCCCAGGAGGTGAGACCACAGTTAAATACAGCCAACTGTGGACAAAACAGATCTCAGACACACACACAAAGACCAAACACCTGGGCGGGGGGGCAGAAATCAGGGGCACTGGAACCACCTGCTTCCTCCCCGCGTGGGTTCTGGGGAGGGAAGGTGGGTTCTGTATTTTCTCCGAAAGAGGGCTCTTGAGATGTCTAGGAACCCAAATTCTTCCCCTCCCCCCTTTCTCCTCCAGTGATTTTTGTATGCAAAAGAATTTATCTTTGTTGACTAAATATTGCTCCACGACGTGAATGGGGGTGCAGGAGGCTGACCCGAGAGTCACTTGCTGTGGGAGGGTCCCTGCCCCAGTTTCAGAGCCTGTAGATCTCTGCTGATCCCTTGGCAGGCGGTGAAGAGAGGAGGGGTTAGGATTCCATTGTTATACAGTCTCTCTCAGCAAGATGAATTTAGCCCAATAAAACATGTCTAGGACTTGTTATTCCTGGGCCACAGATGAACTTGGAGAAAGAGTGGAAGCCGTCCTTGATTTCCTTCTGTGTGGTCACCTCCCACAGGGCAGAAGCGTAGGAGTGGTTTGTTTGAGTCTAAGCAGAGTACAGGGGTCCCTCATTCTTCTTGCTAAAGCCTTTCCCAAGCAAAAATGAATGTCTTTCAATCTTTTAGGAATTTGGAGTTGCCCATTTGCTTGGATTCTGCCATGAGTGTGGGATTTTTTGTTGTTGTTTTACAACCAGACCCAAGGAAACTTCCCTGGGCCCTGTGGCAGCAGCTGTCTGTCTATCACAGAGCTGCAGGGCGAGCAGGTGCCCCTCTGGCTCCGGGAAGAACGTTACCTGGGTGGGATCACTGGGCGGCGGTCAACAAATTCTCGTAGCCGGATGGCTGCAGTCATGATGACTGGGATTCTGGGGGGAAGAAAGTGAAGGTTCACATGGTTACAAAGTTTATACCCCTTTCCAGATGAGAGCTATCCAGTACTACAAAGTCCTTCTTGAAAGTAGAGGTCTGTCCATAGCTTCTGCTAGACTATTCAGAGAAGAAAATAGACAATAAAGGAGCAAAAAGAAATGGCAAGTGTAAACTATTGCACACTGATAGGCTTTTCTTCAAAAATAAAGAATACTGTGCCAGTTGGGCACCTAGCCCCCTTCACACCCTTCTCAGGGTGCCACCCTGTGCCCAAGCTTCCGGGCTGAGCACCACATTTCCCAGCCTCCCTTGCAGCTAAGTTCTGAGATGGATTCGATTCCTCCAGTCAGACCTGCTGAGAGACCTGGAAGGTGGAGCTGAGATCGAGGCTGTCTCCTGCTGCTCTGGCTCTCCTACCGGCAGGCCAGGCTGTGAGGCTGCAGCTTGTGTTTCTCTGCAGCAGAACCTCATCGCCTGTTCTCCAGCTTTGGGGGTGTCAAGGAATAATTGCGTTGAAGACCGCAGCTGAGCCCTGCGAGTGTGCAGAGAGCGGCCGAGGCGGTGCTGGTGGCCTGAGGGGAGGTTCTTGTATTCGGTTGTTCCGGGCCCAGCTTCCTGATTAGGGCACAAGCAGCTGCTTCCACAATGGGGCAGTTTTGTGGAGATGTTCTAGAACCTTCCTGGAGGCCTTCCCCAGAGCCTGCCCCTCCAGCCCTCCCAGTGATTTTGTAAGCATCTCATTATCTATATCAGACCCCTCTGTTTCCTGTACTGACCCTGGACTTACATATGTGTTGTTTCTGGTACACATTTTCATATTGCTATGATTATCTACTGGAGAAGACTTACCACAGAAAACCACCACCTCTAGATACTCACTGAAGAAAGTCAACAATGAGGAGGGAAACTGAGTCCTGGGCCGGAGGGGGAGAAAGCCTTACTTTTCTACAGTTCACCTTGGTGCTCCTCAGGAAGGTTGTACCGTGTGTGTATGTTGTGTATGTGCAGTTACACACAGCGGACCATCAGGGACGCAGGAGAAACGGTGGTTAGGTGGTTCTGTCGTGCCCACTCGGAGACTGTACTTGCACAGACCTGGGTGGTACAGCCGAACTGTAGTTGTACGTACCAGGCCTTTCTACCACTGGCAGTGCAGAGGGTTGGTTTCCACCGGCGTCACCACAAATACGTGGCTAATGTGTTGTGCTACAATGTTACAATGTCTACAATGTCATCAGCTCCATTGTAATCTTATGGGACCACCGTCGTGTATGTGGCCTGAAATCGACAGCTGGGCCTCTGATTTGCGTGATCACGGCCAACAGTAGCAGAACATCGGACTGAAATCCACGTGACCCAAGGCAAGCCATTTCCCTGCTGAATGTTTACGTCCCCTCTGAAATTCGTATGTTGAAACGCGACCCCAAAGTGATGGCACTGGGACGTGGGCCCGGAGGGAGGTGATTAGCTCACGAGTGTGGGGCTCTCATGAATGGGATCAGTGCCCTTATGAGAGAGACCGAGGGAGCTCCCTGGCTCTATGTCTACCACGTGGGGGTTGGCAGCCTGCAGCCCAGAAGGCAGTCCTCCCCAGGACCGGGCCACGCCGGCACTCTGATCTCGGCCTTCCACCCTCCGGGACTGTGACAAACACATTTCTGTGGTTTGTAAACTACCAGTCTCCAGCAATTCGTTACAACAGCCCGAACGGACTGTGGCCCCTGCTCTGTGTATTGATGATCACAGCATCTCTCTGGACAGGTAAGTGAGGCAGTGATGTGTGTGTGAGTGTTCTGTAACCTAAAAGCACCTTTGAGAGAAGAGAAATGGGCGTTACTCTGTGTGAGCTGTATTATATATTAGGTGACACGTGTCAGTACATATTAGCTCCTAGAAACCTTATGAAGTATTACCACTATTTTGCCAAAAGAGGTGCTGAGAAGTAACTTGTACTGGAAAACCGGGATTGGAACCCATTTGGTCCCAGCAACATTTACCTTTACGATTGTCATCGTGAAGAGCACCCCGACCACTAGCCAAAATAAAACTGGAACAACCCAACAGGAGCCGCAACCAGGAGGGAGAGAGGATGGGAATAAAGTGAGATGCCTCCCTCTCTCCCTTTTATAGTCAAAACTCAACTTACTGTCCACAGGCCAGTTCGCGGCTGTATTTCACCTCTGAGCATGTTTTTGAAGCAACTAAAAAACTTTCAAACACGATTACATGATAACAGAATAGATTGGCAACCCCAAAGAGCCTGATCATTATGCAATGTGTTTTTGCTTTGTGCACTGGTGCGATTATAAAACAAAAAGAAAGGGAGAGAGAGCGAAAGAGAAAATCTGCGTGGACACAATGGAGCCCTGTGCGCTGGGCCTCAGCTCACTAGCAGCAACACGCCGGAGAGAAGAATGCAGGATACTCGGGGCACTTTGCTCCCAACAAAGACAACACCAAGTGCGCCTTTGATGATGGACTGATTGCTCAGTGCCCAGAAATTCTGAATCAGCACCACAGGGAATTGACCAGGCCCGGGTTGCCATGCTTTGGCCATGCCATAAAAACATTGGCAGAGGAACACAGAACAGCCCACGTGAGTCTAAGCCGAAGTTCCCAGAAGAATCAGAAGACTGGGCGTGGCCACAGGCGTGTCCATGTGCATGTTTACAGAATTCCCCCACCGTGTATACAAAGGATGTCAGATCTCATGTCTGTGATTAGTTACCATCTCTTGAACACACAAGGAAATGTAGTTTGCAATAAGATACATCGGCATTTTATTTTAGTCAATCTGAAATAATAGATTTACAAGCAACAGGAAGAGCCAGCTTTTATTAACCAGTGTCACCCCAATACATTGAATTTAAAAATAAAAAAGAACAGATTCACATACCAGTTCTGAACGCGAGAACTGTGAACTCATGTAAAACTTGCCACCATCGCCACACTCCTAGCCAACGCTGCTTTGTCCCCTACGCCACGAGCCATACCTTCATCTCTTTTAAAATACATCATTTGTGTTGCCTTACTAGAAGACTCTGCCTCAGAAATGCCCCAAGTAAAATTCTTCTAGAGAAAACGTGAGTTGTATCTGCGTCCTCGCCCTCTCTTTCACTCAATGTTGAATTAGACCAGGAAATCTTAAACATTTTTCTTTTTGAAAACTGAAAACATAATATGACTAGAGCAAATAGAAAAATAATATTAGTCCAGCCGGTGTGGCTCTGTGGTTGAACATCGACCCATGTACCAAGAGGTCACCGGTTCGATTCCCGGTCAGGGCACATGCCCAGGTTGTGGGCCTGAACCCCAGTGGGGGGCGTGCAGGAGGCGACCAGTCGATGTTCTCTCTCATTGATGTTTCTCTCTCTCCCTCTCACTTCTCCTCTCTCTAAGATCAATAAAGGAAAAGAATATATAAAAAAAATTAAAACCATCAATTGATTTATTGGATTCTGAATTCATTTATTAATTCTATCATTTAAGAAACCAGTTACTGAGTGACAACTTTGCCCCGGGTTGGACAAGGCTCTAGAGATTCTTCAAAGAGGAAAATGTGAGTTTCATACAGTGTTTGCCTCTCCGGCTGCAACGTAAACTCCTAGATGTTGGAACCATATTGCATTGGTGGCCACTACCTCACTGTCGCGAGAACTGTTTCTCATCCAGGAAGTGCTCTGTGCATCCTTTGGAATGAATGGATCAATGGGAAAATCTATCAGTCAACTCAGTAATCTAGTAATCTAGTTAACAGTTTGTTTTTAATTCCATTTCTAATTTTTTTTTTTTATTACTTTTTTAGAGGGAGAAGGGAGAGAGATAGAAGCATCGATGTGAAAGAAAAAAATGGATCGGCTGCCCCCTGCAAGCCCCCTACTGGGGATTGAACCGGGTCCCCTCAGTCCATGCGATGAAGCTCAGCCCACTGAGTTGCACCGGCTGGGCTAGTGAACAGTTCTTAAGCTTTGTTCTTGTATCATAGAGAGCCAGATACCTTAATTAGTAGCTATACTTCATTTCTAAAAAAAAAAAAAAACTGAACTAAAACCATTCAAATAAATCAAAGTTGAGTATGAATATTCACTTTGTAAAAGAATTCTTGGCTGTAGAAAAGGTTTGCCCCCAAATTTCTATAAATCGTGAACTCCAGTCTCTAGAACACTCAAAATGCAATTGGCTATTTAGTAATGCAGCTACAAAGTGAAGGAGAGAGAGGTAGGGGCAGTAACAGCCATATGGTGTTACCTGTTTGGGCTGCAGTGGGTGGGGAGACCTTCTTGCTTTAGCAAACGGTCCTCTGAGGACAGCAGTTATTTTGGCTGCCTCCTGGTGTTGCATGCCTAGCAGAAGCACCCTGCAGAGTTATGGGACTTGATCCCTTTACATCACTCAAAGGCTATTGTGATGCACTCTGGGTTGGAAAGTTTCGCTAGGTAACACTTTTAAGGTTTGGAGCTTAAAAAAAACATAGGGGTCCTTTGGTCTCTATGAAAGCCCAGCTGCACATGAAAAGAAAGGGTGAAAATTAGTGTGAAAAGGAAAACCATGTGGGCAAATAATCCAGATTATTTCATCACTAGTACGTTCTTTTCTATCAAGATTATTCCAAGGACCACATGAGCTCAGGCTCTGGGTGGTGCTGTATTGGCCAGTTCTTCCCTTTGCCGGTGGGAATGGAGGAAGCTGGGGGGGCGAAGAGTCCAGCTCTGCTCAGTCCAAACCTGGGTCGGGCTTCCTCCTGCCGCTACAGAAGCCATCACAGGAGGCTTTTAATTGTTTGCAAATACAATGGAAACTAATCCATGGAGCATCACAGTTGCGCTACTATATAGAATAGCAAGTCATGACTTTGGAGACCAGAATGGCAAGTATGTGGATTTAGACCACCCTTCATCAAAAACAAAAGCAAAATAAAACATCGGTATTATCTCAAGGATAAACATATAGATTAATGGAGTAGAATTGAGATTCTACAAATAA